TAGTGGAACGTTGTTCATTGCCGTATCCGTTTGAAAAAAATTATGTTGAGTTGCGTCATGTTGAGGTATGATTGTGATCTGTTTGGGAAATTGGAGAACAAAGTCTGGTCGTATTTGTGGTCTATTTCGGAAAATGGAGAACAGTATTTGGTGGCTGATTCTGTCCGCTATTCCCGGCGTTTTCCTTCCCCCGGCTTGTGAGGCGTTCTGTTACGTGACCCTCGGATCACGACTATCCCATGTCTGCCACTAAATCACGTGGTTTTGATCACGCCTGTCTCACACTCGCTTGCCGCACCGCATGACCCTTTCTTTTCCCTGCTCCGTCGCTGCATCACGTGACTCACGGATTACGTCTAACCATGCGTTGTCGCCGTATCACGTGGCCTGTCATCGTCGCCTTTTGTCACGCGGAACGAGTCGCGCTCTCAGCTGTCGGTGGCCCGTTTCGTTCGTTTCCTCTGCTGGCCATGGTCGTCCTACCCCACGGGTCCCTGTGCGTGCCGTACACCGCAGACATGTGTCGCTGTGTGCTGTGTGTATTGCCTGTGGCCCGTCTGATGTCTGCCGTTTGCGGTCGGCTGTCTCGCGCGTCTCCCGTCCCACCCCCATAGCGCCGCCTACCGCCTGCTGCTGAGCGGTTTCGGCGGTCAAGACTGACGCTCGGCTCTCCTCTGTTGCAGGATAAAAAGTCCACCGACAGACGCTCGACTGGCGACAAGAAGCCGGTGCACAAGCCACGCAGTGACTTCGAGAATCTGTTCGGCCAGCCGATCAAGAAGACCAGTCATGTTTCTCCACCTGACTCGAAGAAGGGTCGTCCCCCTTCGGCAGCCTCAGCTGCGTCAGGGTCTTCCGCAGCCCGGCCGGGGTCAACTGATGCGGCCGGGAGTAAGGATAGGTCATCTCACAGCGCCGAAAGGCGTGATAAGAACCACCGGGACGGAGATCGGGAGAAGGAGAAGAAGGAGAAGAATAGAGAGAAGAAGCACCGAGACAAGGAGGAGAGGCATAAACACCGGGAGGAGAAACATCGCGCTAAGGAGGCGAAGGAGAAGGAGAGGGAAAGAGAAAAAGATCGGGAGAAGGAGAAAGAAAAAGACAGGGAGAAGGAGAAAGAAAAGGAGAGAGAAAGAGAAAAGGAGAGGGAGAAGGCAAAAGAGAAACATCGTCTGAAGAAAGAGAAAGAGAAGCGCGCGGAGGAGGCGAAGGAGAAGGAGCGACTTGAGCGAGAAAAGCAGAAGGCGTTAGAGAAAGAGAAGGCAGAGCGGGAGCGCATTGAGAAGGAGAAGGCGGCTGAGAAGGAAAGAATCGAGAAAGAGAAAGCCCTGGAGCGTGAGAAGGCAGAAAAGGAGAAAGCACTCGAAAGAGAGAAAGAGAAGGAAGCGGCGCGCTTGGAAAAGGAAAAGCAGGCCAGGGAGAAGGAGCAGGCCCTGAAGGAAGCCAAGCTGAAGGAGCAAAAGGCACAGGAGCTGCGAGCGGCCAAAGCAAAAGAGCGCAGCGCCAAGAAGGCCGCCAAACGATCCCGCTCTCCGTCAGAAGAGTCGACAAAGAAGATTAAGTTGGAGAACGGCAAGGCCGAGGTCAAGAAGGAGCGCGACGAGAGCAAGAAGCACCGGCCGCTGGAGAAGACGACGTCGTCCAGCTCTGTCTCCAGCAAGGGCAAGTCGCCAGACGGCCACGGCGCCAAGGTTAAAACGCCCGAGTCTCACAGCGCCAAGACGAAGGAGAGGCCATCCAAGGAGGAGCGGCATCGAGCCAAGGCCAGCGCCAAAGAGGCCGCCAAGGCTCGCGACGAGAAGAAGCGCGCCAGCGGCGAGGGCGAGGAGCGCAAACAGCAGACGCCGGTTCGCTCGGCCGAGCCCCCCACGCCGGTCAAGACGGAGGTGCGCGCCTCGCCGGCGTCCGACACGCGTGGCCGCCCCGCCGACGCCGCCCGGCACAAAGCTGCCAAAAAGCGCAAGCGCGAGCACTCGTCCCCGGCCTCCAAGACACGGGAGGAGCCTGCTCGTCAGCGCGCGGCGGCGGCGGTCCCTGCCGGTCCGGCGTCCCCAGCAGGGCCACGCTCGCCCTCGCCGGAGCGGCCGGCGTCTACCGCCTCTGCTCGCAGCTCCTCCCCGCCGGCAGGGAAGTCGCACCCGCTCCGCCAGCTGATGAACGAGGTGGCTGGGTCGTCCCCGAGCGGCGACTCGTCCAGTGACAGTGACGACGAACTGGAGACCCCTTCCCTGGTCAGCAAACGGTCAGCCGGCCCGAGCCCGCGGCCCAGCGCCAGGCCGCAGCCCGTGCCGGCTGAGGCACCGGCGGCGGCCGAGCCGGCGCAGACCGCCACCCCGGTCAAATCGGAGCGGCCCGACCTCTCCATCTATACGGCCGAGTACCTGGCCGAGCTGCAGGAGCTGCAGCGACGCATTATGACGTCACAGGATCGTGACGAGCTGAGCCGCGTGTTCGATTTGATCTGGGAGACGGGACAGGTGGAGGACAGTGCCAATTCGTACGATTTCGACCTGTGCGCGCTGGACCAGTCGGTGGTGCGTAAACTGCAGCAGTGTCTCCTCATGGTGTAGGCGGCGCGGCGCGCTGCCGTCGGTGGGAGTGTCGATCTCGACGGGGGCCGCGCGGCGTCGGCAGTGTACATAGCCGGCTGGTGTCATCTGTGATCCCGTTTTATTGTGAGAGTTTATCAGGCTGGTGCGGTCAGGTACCAAGTGCCGAAGTCGGGCCATATTGGGCGCGTTGTTAGCGCTCGCCAGAGGTCAGCCCTGTCCCGGGAGCGGTGTTTGCCGGCCGATGTCGGCCGTCTTATGAGGTGATGTTGTGGACGTGTGCTGCCGCTGCTGCAGATTCTGCTGATATTTTGACGTGTTGATGTGACTTTATGGACATTAGCTAATATGTTTGACTATGATTTGCGTGTGGCTAGCACTGATCGCCCAGCCGCGGATCTGATTTGATCTTTCGGGGAGGCGTTGATAATCAACATAGCCCTCCGCCATGCGATCTGAGCGAGTTGAGGCTCGCTTTATTCTGCCGGCTGTAACTATTACATGAGATCGTTACTTCTGGTCAATGGATTGGCCGCCTTCCAAGTTGATGCACTCGTTAAAACATCCCTACCGATTCTTTGCCAGTGCCCGGTAAGACGGTTATTTGTCAGTCATTTGTCTTTCATTCAGCCGTTAAATCTCTTCGCTGTTGGTGGGCTCGTGCCATTTTCATTGTCTGCTGATCCCGTTGATGTGGTGTTATGGAACACGCCTGTCGCGCGCTGCTCGTTCTGTTGCACAGTTCTTTAGGATTCTTCTTTTGAGCTCAGCACTCCATGGAGCGGTCATTGTGCAATGTCGGATGCAATCGCATCAGACCGGGTCGCCTTTCATGGAGTGTGTCAGGATCGCAAATTGGCTGTTCAGGAGAATCATACAGTTCAAAATATGGGGGTTGGGATTGGGTGCGGCGAACACCTGTGAATGTACTTTGCCAGTCAGACTGTGAGGCCGTGCTCAGTTCAAATCGCTCAGTTCAACCCCTCACATCCCGACCCTGAGGGCAAAAGCGAGACTGATGTCGTCGCCTTTGAGACGATCCGTTATGGTGGGTGCATCCCAATGTGTGTCCCGTGTTCGTAATGTGTGCGTGTGTAAATGTTTGTGTAAGCTGGCGGGCGTGAGCTCGTCAGATAGTGTACTTATATCCCACATTGTTGGTCCATGCCCTATCACGGATGCAATCACACCAATACATGGTCGATCGGTGGAAGGGTGGTTTGTCGTTTGGATGCTCGCGTCGGTCTGATTTGACGTGGACGATGATGCTCACTTTTCTTGCCAGCTGACCATGTTTTACTTGCCGGGATGCTTTTCGGAATCGCAAGGGAGTAAGCTAAACGTTTGAAAAAAATGAAATTATCCGTAAAATGAATAGAGGAATGCTTATCAAGGAATGACGCAGAATGCATCTCCGGAGCCGTTGGACTCGACAAAGCGACATCCTGCATGTGAAGACACACGTCTGAGTCAGTTCAGAACCCATACAGGCACGTCTCGTCGGAGTCAATTGCGGACCCAGTCCTAAGTGGCGGAGCTCCTCCAAATGCCTACCTGACGGCCTCAAATGAGTTTGAGAGACAAGGAAATCTTGAGGCAAGGAAATCTAATGCAAAAAAAAAATCGAACCTCCGCATCCGATTTCGGCCAGGTTTAGTCCCGCCTGGATGGCAGGATGCGAAAAAGGCGCTTAGCGCAGGTGCGCCAAAGGATAAGTGCCTTGTGCCGTGACGCCGTCACGTTCGATGCCAACAGAGATTCTTAAAGGGACCCTCCCACCTTCAAAAAAGTTTATGAATTGGCATGAAAGTGATGTCGCTCGGTTCAGAAAGAGCGAAAACGAGTATCTACTAAATTTCACCGAAAAATATTCACCGGTTTTCAAGATATTATACTTTTACTTTTGTTTACTTTTTTGGGATCTCCGCTGTTTCTAGCGACTTTATTTTAGAAGTGCGGCGTTTGCGGCAGATGTTGCGCGCAAATAGCATATACCACCGCGTGTTACAAAACGTTTTAGTCAAACAATTAAAAATCGTTAGATATCTGCGCTGACGTCATACATTCAGAGGGGTATTCCTAAGCATTAGCCCCTCTGAATCAAAATGCTGCAATTTTGAAATTCAATATTTCTGATATAAGGCATTTCTCGATGTTGTGAGTGCCGAAACCGGTAATTGTGAGCCAGGGACCCCATTTTGGCTATCTTAACTCAAATCTAATGTTAAGGTGGGAGGGTCCCTTTAATTGAAATAAACAGTAGGTTAAACGTATTTTTCTCGAAATCCTATGGCAAAAGAACCTGAAGGCACTCGTACTTCGCTAGAACTATGACGTCATTTTGTGCGAGCCAATGGAAACCTCGCATCATATGACGTCACAAAAACGTATTTGCGAGGACAAGGTGAAAGAAAACCAAAATATTACCGAACTTGAATATTACCAGAAAGAATGTTGGGGAGAGTGGGGGATAGGATATAAGGGATAGCATAATATTCGGATTTGAGTGTTTTTGGACGATCACAGCCTGTTATCGATCGCCTGTTTGCGCCAGCCCACTAAGGGTCTTTCGGTGTTGTTTTACTTACAAATAGTAGGTAAGAAATGTGATATTCGATACCTTCTACGAAAGTGGCGCACTCCATATTTGGCTTTACTGGTTCTAGCATATCGTGCATTTATTTCAAAGTGATTATGTACAGTGATTATGTATTGATTATGTATGGAAGCTACAGCCCTGAATTGTTTGATTCCCTGCCTTACCAACTTATTATTGAGAACAATCAATGAGTGCGAGGAATGACAGTCTTAGGCTCCGCTAAAGTAGCTCGATGATATTTGTAGAGCACTGCTCCTACCCAGGTTCACTTCTTCATGTGCATTTTGTTATTAATCTCTGCCTGATCAATGTCCATTTATTGTCATTTTCAGGGAAAAGTTTTTGATCTGTTTATCTCCCAACCATACCATTACCCTATTGTTAAAGAAGTTTTTAAAATGTCACTGAAGAGAATAAGAATAGCAGAAGCTGGTCCAGAGTTATTGGCACAGTTGTTTTTTTTTTTGCACAGGATGGCGCAGGTACCGATGAGAGTAGCACATCAGGCTGGCATTGTCCATCAACAGCGTCCGGCCATCATGGTGAGCATGCAGCAGCCACCGCCAAACACCATGACAGGTGAGTGAAATGGGGTACGCAAGATGGACATTTGAGCATTGGCATGGACAGTCCATGACAGCAATTATGATGAATTGTTTTGAATATTTACTTGTCATAGCAAATACCAACTTAATGAAGTATAGTAGTGATAGTTGTGATACCATAACAAGTATGGTAGTGATACTTGTTTCAGAACCAATGTGAAAGGCAACCTTAGAGTGAAATGGCTGTGCTGTTACCATCAAGACATTGATATATGTCCCCATTTTTACCCTGCTTTGTAATTGGTTATCTTGTTGTGAGAAAAATGCAATTAATATTTTTTGTTGTTCGAGGAACGAAAATGGACGTCCTTTCATTCTCAGATGTGCCTTTGCCTGCTGTCTGTGTGTATGTGTCTGTCTGCCACTGTGTCTTCAATTGTTTGTGGCTCTGTCCGTGCACTCACTGCCCCTCTGCCATCTTTCCTCTGGCAGGTCTGGTGAGCATGAGCCCCATGATGGCGCCCAGCGTGGTGATGGCGCACGGGCCGCCGCCGCCGCTGGCGCACCAGGAGCTGGAGGCGGCGCACCACCTGGCCGCCCACCCGCAGCCGTTCCACCCGCACGCCCACCTGGCGGCCGTGGCGCCGCAGATGCAGCCGCACCCGCAGCTCTCTGCGCCGCCGCTGGCCGCCGAGCCGCCGCCGCCCCCGCCGCAGCAGCCGCCTCAGCAGCCGCCTCCGCAGCAGCAGCAGCAGCCGCCGCAGCAGGCGCAGCAGCAGGCGGCCGCTGCGGGGGCGACCGGCGGCACCCCCGTGGTGGGACAGATCCTCTCGTCGAACGCCGAGGACGGGGCGACTGCCGGGGCGGCCGGGGGGTCGGCGGACGGAAAGGAGAAGACGCCCATGTGTCTCATCAACGAACTGGCCAGGTCGGTCTTAACCTCAACGCTCGGTACCGTGACATTTTGATGAGTACCTATGTAATGAATGCATTGCCTATACACTTTTGCCACATTATGGATGAGCCTAGAAATAGTTGGGGAGAAGGCTATCCGATGCGACTTACCAACATGCATTGCGACTTTTAGTCGTTATTTTCAAACTTTTACCAATGTTTCGCCCTTTTTCTTTCATGGCGCTGACCATCGTTTTGTCTTGGTCCCGGCGGCAGGTATAACAAAATTCAGCACCAGTACCGGCTGACTGACGAGCACGGGCCGGCACACAAGAAGACGTTCACGGTGATACTGCAGCTGGGCCAGGAGGAGTATCAGGCCACCGGGCCGAGCATCAAGAAGGCGCAGCACGCGGCGGCCAGCAACGCCCTGCAGGCCACCAAGTTCAAGCACCCGCCGCCCAAACAGCAGCGCAGCACTCGCACCAGTACGTGACGCACGTCCGAGTCATCGGTAGGCAGGATACGCTATTTTCTTCTTCTGTTAGGAGTCAACGACGTGTTCGTTGCGTCCTACCTCCTAAATGGTATGCAAAATTTGTGATATCCTTTTTACATGCTGAGAACTAACGGCCTGTCTGATGTGTGGTGTTATTTTGGATTTGCTTATAGCTGGTAGTGTTTTCGTAAGGAACTTGCTGCAGATGTTTAACATTGTGCGTAATGTATCCGCAGTAGTTTCTTCATTCGGATGGTTATCTGAAGTGTGACGTTCGATATCTGTTTGCCAGGTCTGACACCGACTGTAGAGCTGAACTCGCTGGCCATGAAGCGCAACGAGACGGCCATGTACACCTTCATCGAGAGTCCTTACCTGCCGCACAGTCACATCAACTACAGGGTCAACTATCAGGTCAGTCGCACACCCGACAGCTGGGGGGGGGGGGGGGGGTTCTAGCTACAGTATCGGGAGTCCGTGTAGCTAGGGGGCGTACCGTCGAGAGTCCATACCTGCCGCACAGCAGGGTCATGTGGGGCGTGGTGGTGCGGGCGGTGTGCACCGGAAGAGATGCAAACGTGCAAGCGGCGGGTCCTGCAGGTTTTGCCGAATGCAGAACGACCGGTCGATAAGGCTGGCGGTGATGGAAGCGATTAATGCGAGAAGAATTATAATGTATTTGAATGGCTCTCGCATGCGATTTCCTGAACGCAGACAGAGTCTGTTTCAGCCTTTAGAGGCACAATGGTGTTTCCCGGTAGTTTGGGCTGTGGGTGAACGAACTGGCATATTGTAGCCCACCAACTATTGGCTTAGTCCACTAGTGTTTATATGGTCGCTTATTTTGAGGTTTCGAAACTGTTACTGTTACCTTTGTTATTCGTGTGCTTTTCACTTGATTACCATCGTTATAATACTTTTGCGAATATTTCCAACTTACCTTCGTGTTCGCCAAAGTGCGGCAGATGATCGTGCTAAGTACCGACGTGAAACACTTTCCATCTGGCATTGAACTGACCCCTAATCCGACCTTGTGCCGACAGCGGTTCGGTCGCGGCGGTCTCAGCTACACGCCTCAGTACCACGTCAGTCTCCGGGTGGGCGAGCGCGAGTTTTTCGGCGTGGGCGCCAACCCGCAGGCGGCGCGGCACGCCTCGGCTGCACAGGCGCTGAAGGTGCTCAGGGACCTCCCGCTGCCCGGACACGTGCAGGGGGCCGCCAGCGCAGGTCAGTCGGCTATCCAGTTCTGGCGGTAGGCAGGTCAATGATATTGGGTAGAATAGAAAGGGCCAGTCTGTGTACAATTTAAAGACTATCGCGTTGTGGAATGTGCAGTACAGGAGTGAATGATTACTCTGACGGTAATTAGACTGTAAATTATATTGCTGTCGGATGAACGTCGTTTTCAAACCGTCATCATTTACACTTACATTTTTAGTTTCATGACAAATCGTCAGGCGTTGTGCATATGTAATTGACGTTTATGAATTTCGTGTCCGGATCGTGTCCTTCTGTGCCAGTTGCTCCTTAGCGCGTGCCGGTGTGCATTACTCTACGCACGCTGCTCAGGTGTCCAAACTGTGCGTTGTCCACCTTGCTGCCAGCCTCGTTGACGCTCTGCTGCTTCCGCTTCCACAGGCTCGGACGACCCGAACGCCGACCTCAAGTCTCCCATCTCGCTGGTGCACGAGATCGGCCTGAAGCGCAGTCTCAGCGTGGGCTTCACGGTGACGCGCGAGACGGTCCGCCGCACATGCGCACCTTCCTGACACAGTGTTTTGTGGCGACATCACCACCGACGGCGAGGGCAGCTCTAAAAAGGTACCGAAACACGACGTGACACCGCACGATTGCTTAAAAAGAGGGAGATCAGTCCTGGTTTCAAGACACATAACTAATCCTTGGCTGACATTGATCGAAGCTATACCCATTTGATACACCATTTGTGGCTGTGGATGTTTAGTTGTTTTATT